AGAAGAGTCATCTCGCAGCCAAACGTGTAGACGACGTGCTGTACGCCTGTGTGTTTTGCGTCGCTTCACGTCGTACTATCGATGAATGCGATTCAACTGTGTTTACCAATACAAAGGCATTGTTTACCCATCTATCACACCATCCACGACCGCTTCCTGAGGTCCCTGGAATAGCCGTAGTAGAGGGACCAGAAATGCCCGCGCATTTACGCAACGACTTTGATGTTTGGTTTAGGAACCCGCCAGAAGCGCACCCGGCTCAGCTGAATCTGTCGGAAATAGCAGGAAAGGCCACGGGAATTACCAAGGATCATTCACGAAGATTATATGGACAAAGGCTCCTGTTTGATAGAAGTCCAGCCCTGGAACTTTGCCACGGTGCTAAAATCACTGGCATCACCTGGCCAGAGAAGCATAATGGTGAATGGATCTTTGCCTGGCACGATGGTATACATGCTTCCACGCCCGCTGATATTGTCAAACTTGATGCCCCACCTTCGGAAGAAATCAGAATGGTCGGTTCAAGCCTGGTCCGAGCAAAGTCCAGGTGGAAGTTTGTCCAAAAGGACAAGGAGAAGGACAAAAGCCTGTGGTTGAGGTTTGACAAGAACGAGGCCATCACCAACATAAGTTGTAAGCTCACACAATTCCTCTGCAGTCCATGACACGTGTGTTGCTAATGATTCCCACAGATGCATCCCCGGATCATTGGTGCTGGTCGGGAACCAACGCAAAGGGGAAATGGGGCATTTTCCCCAAGGTTTTCCTCGAGCCAAGCACCATCCAGGAACTTACGACTGAAGGCGCTGATCGTGCGCTTACTTTAAACAAGGAGAAGAACAAGTCTTTGTCAATGCTATCCAGGTTTCCAAAGAGACGGCCGTCGGGTCGACCTCCTAGTATTGCCGGGTCTACCGGGTCTACTAGCAGTCGTGAGACACAGGGTGGGCGCATCAGTTTGAGAAACTCCAGAGGCAGCAGCAGAGGAACAGAGGATGCAATGTCCAGCTTGGTGACCTGCGCAAGTGTTGAATAACTCCATATACCCTTGGGGAGTGCGATGTGGCGCAATGGATTTGCTTTGATCTTTAGTTGCAAACTTTTATGACGGGGCACACGACCATTCGCCGCCTGTATGTGTGTGTGTCTATCCTCGCTGAATACGAAGTAGGTGCGACATCTGGGCGAGGGCGGAGGAGACGGTGTTTGTGATGGACCTGGTTTGTTCAACATGGCCGGATGGCACGCATCCAGCAACGTGGCAGCGCTACACTTACGTAGCGGTCTTTTTTTTTTTTTTTTTTTTTTTTTTTTTTTTTTTTTTTTTTTTTTTTTTTTTTTTTTTTTTTTTTTTTTTTTTTTTTTTCCGCCAGCCGCATCAATTCGTGTATTATACTTGGTGGCTGGAATTAAAAAGCGCATTGGGACACTTGCAGGCTTTTGAGTACTTTACTCCTGTGCCCGAGACGTACCTCCATTAACTTGATGCATGGAGACGAGGGAAGCAAGCATGACTTTCATGCCCTGAATTTGACAGATCAGCTACCCTGCACATTTTGTGATCTGCACGCCTGCATGCAAGTGCGATATTCGCATGAGAATGTGGGTGCGATGTTTCATTATAGGTAGCCGTGCCGTTGATTCAGGTGAAATGCCTGTTTCTTTTTTTTTTCTTTTTTCGGTTGTTGTACGGAGTACTAGTGTGATTACGATGTGCGCATGAAATGCGCATCAAACGTTGCCAACATTCGTACTCGCAAGGCATGGATCGCTACGTACGATACGTACCTTACGTAGGTAGCTTGATGAGTGTCTGGCTCGAGCAGTTGTGCCAAGGTCAATTTATGCGTATATATACTACCTAGGTAGTTCTTTCCCAATCGCCAACTAAAAGCGACTACATGTACCATATTATTCGTAAGCCAAGCGCATGATAGCCAGGTATGGCGGACTGGGAAAACACTTTTTGCTTCATAGGATACTTCAGTTACAAAGGAGCGGAGGAAAAACATGCACGGCAAGCAATGGAGACTACAATTTCAAATTCCGGTTTCTGTCTGGAGCTGTTAGCGCTTGTTAGTTAGGCGGTTACGAGACATGTCAAGGTCCTTCATTGGGACCAGGACTTGAACGGTTGCGTCTCAGCCACAGCCAAGACACGGCAGCAGAACAGGGATATGTCAAACGCAAAAATAGCTCTCCTCAACAAGGTCGAGCTAGGCACCGATGAGCGCCGTGGCGCCCCCGTGGTGAGCTTCGCCCAAGGTTCCATATCTGTTGTTGTGTTTATGTTGCGTTTCTTGCAAGTGTAAATTCCAGCTGAGGCTAGGCGCCGCTGAGACAATAAAGGTGTTCACCTCCACGCGCATTAGGGCGGGAGCAAGGCCTTGCATTGTTCAAGGTGCATTCCGTACGGAGTATTGCATGGCAGACCGCGGAAAAGTTAGTGGCGCAGCTGGTGGTGGCTTGCTGACCAGTATCTATCTCAGGAGCTTGCAGCGTGTAAAAACGACTGCCCGAATCCTCAGCCCCTAAGATTTGCTCCTTGGAGTCCTCTTTAATTTGTTTGTTACCCGTCGTTCGTCCGGCCTTTGGTGACTTGGGTGAATGCGGTCCTAGAGAAGGGTCGCGCACAGGCCGTGGATGAAACCGTCGTCGTGTAGGATGTCAGGTGTACAAAGCTTGGTTGATGTCCGGGCCTTGCTGAGAATCTGCGCCAAGGGCTTGGGGGAAACATGACGGAGAAGAAAGGGTGTCAGGGCCAAGTGTATAACAGTCGTGGCTGTGGTGACGAGGGAGGGAAGGGGGCGGAGAATGTAAAAAAAAAAAAAAAAAAAAAATTAATAAACGAATAAATAATCAAGGCACGGGGTTGACGAGGCACAGAGAGAGACGCTAACTTCTAGAATGGCTCTGGGCTCAGGTGGCACGGCAGGTGCGTTCGGGGTGGCTGCCAACATTTTGCGCCACCAAGATGCAAAGTCTGAGATGCGAGATGCACTCGACAGATTCACTCATTCACACATGATACACGGCATCATGTTTTTTTTTACGCCTGGATCAATACGCTGACTGGTCTGCAATCAGCTCACGTGAACGACCATGGCGCGTTTGCAACGTCGACAACGATCAGACACGTTTCTAAAGATACTGTAAAGCCCCTGCTACATGGCTAGCGACAACTTTTGTTCGACGCCACGGCCATCACGTGGTCCAACCTTATAGGCTTTTTTTTTGTGCTTCCGCGTCTTTGTGCCCAAGCAGTTATCAAGACTATGATGGGGGTCGTAAGGCAGCTGCCATTAAGCTTCAAATCTTCTTCAGCTCACTTCCAAGTAGCGTGGTGGTACGGATGGCATCATTGTGCCACCCGCCGCATCTTCACCGCCTAGCAAACAACAGCATGACCACGCTTCAGTGTGACCCTGACGGACAAGACGCCGTTGGGAAGAAGGGGAAAAGCTCCAGAAGTAACGATGAAGATAATTATAACAATAACTGGTGCTACAAAAGTAAGGGTATTTTCGTCTCAAGCCCCAACAATGATGCCGCCACATCCACAAATACACCTCGAGGGACAAAAGTGTGTGTTGTTGAGGGGCAATTCTGGTATAGTTGACATGGTCTTGGTCTTCCTTTGAGTGTAGTGGCTAAACATGATAGCAGAACAAAGACGTCAAATCTAAATTTGATTTAATCATGCACCGTCACCTTCATCAGATGACGTGCCTTTGTGGTGATGCACGGATTAACCCCCAGACTGGATATGTCGCGTGGCCACCCCGGGGTGTGGCCTTGGCTGGAGCTGGCACGGTCTGAGGGACAACTTGAACGGGGCCCGGCCTGTCAAGATCTGGTGCCCACTCAGCATGAAGAGGCAATCTCCCGCTGAAACACGATGGCTGCCCTTCAAAACCAGAGGTCGCTCTTTGATACCATGTGCAGACACGGCCTATACTGTGTATACGTATACGGAGAACTAGTACCCAGCAGGAACGCGGGCGCGCTCAGTCAATAGTCGGTGATGGAGAGTACTTCAGCTTCAACACCAAGTCGAATGAAACGGTTCAGAACAACACGACAAGCGCCGTTGGGGACTTGACTCGGCAGTGCGAGCCGCCATCTGCCAGCTACCGTCTTTTTCCTTTTTCTCTTACTGCCCTGACCTGGATGCTGTGCGGACATCTGGAGGGGCCTGATTGGGACCAGCACGTCCATATCCAATGTTCAATGTTATCCAAACTCGGCGCCAAACCCCTTGCCTGCACCAATCACGGCGCTCCGCCTTCCCTCTCCATCGGCAGGCAGCCTGCCGCTAGATCGGGGCGTGCTGGGCCTTGGCTCCTCCTTGCATGGTGGCTCCCCCGGTCCGGATTCAATCATAGATACCCGGGTCAGGGGTGCCAGCATAACCTCATGAGGCGGTGCGTCTAGTAACGGACCTCCAAACTTGGCCCTGTCAATGTGACACTCTCAGCACCATCTAAAGAAAGTCACGGGGGGGTCACCGGCTACGGGGGCAAGACGTAGTGTTTCCCCCAGCACTGGCAAAAAATGGCGAGGCCTCAAAGTATTCCGTCTGTGGGTGGGTGGTCCATGAGCTTTGCCCGTCATTCACAGCAAGTGAATGAGAGTGAGATTCGACTCAAGAGCCATCCTCTTTACCTGAAGCATTGTTGTGACGGGGGGCTCACAGAGACCCTTGTTTATAATACACCGTCCTGCCCGGCCCATTCCTGTTGCCAGACTCCTACATAGCAGTCCGTCTCTTCAGATTCCACAATCTTTGACTTTGTTGAATACACGGAGGATATATGCCATTGCTCCCTATTTCGTTGTCCACACATGGCAAGCCTTTGAATATTCATCTACAATCGGAACTCGCATGCCGGTATACAAGCTTCATGCGCTTACTGCCACCTACCCTCCTTTGTTGTTCCCATCCTCCACCAGATCATCGTCTTTGACTGGTTGATATCTCCTGAGACATATTTGGCAAAATGATTCCCAACTACGCCTACCGGGTGTCCCTACTCGCGATGATGGCATATGCCGTTCGGGGTGAACCATCCAATGCGCAGAGTTACACGAATTATGTGGTCTCGGGAATAAGGACATTGAATGACCATTGGTATAATGTGCAGACAGGTATCTGGGACGATGCTTGGTGGAATAGCGGAAACGCGATGACTGCCTTGGCCGACTTTGCGTCATTACGACTTACCGAGGCCAATATGCTCAATATTGGTGGCTACATGCGCAATACATTTGACCAAGCTCAAAAGGTAAACGTCAAGACAGCGAAATTTGTTAACAAAGCTGGCATGGTGTCGTCCATTTACTGCCTGGACCAGAATAGCGGCTGCATGGCTAAGCGAGAGTTTTTGGGCAAGCGTGGCTTTGACGATTTTATCAACGATTTTTACGATGATGAGGGATGGTGGGCTCTGGGTTGGATAAGATCTTTCGATGTTTCTGGCGACAAGGACTATCTCAACGCCGCCATTGATTTATTCAACGACATGCAAACAGGGTTGGGCGGTCCTTGCGGCGGGGGTATTTTTTGGAGCAAGGAACGAAAATACGTCAATGCCATCGCCAATGAGCTCTATCTGTCAGTAGCTGCATCCCTGGCTCGACGAGTCCCCCAAAACAGCACTTACAAAGACATTGCCATAGAACAATGGGACTGGTTTGAAAGGAGCGGCATGATCAACGCGCAAAATCTCATTAATGACGGTCTCGATGAGTCGTGTAAGAACAATGGATTGCAAACTTGGACTTACAATCAGGGTGTTGTCCTGGGTGGTCTCGCTGAGCTCTTTCGGGCCACCGGCGATCTCAAATATGTCGAGAAAGCAGTTCCTATTGCCCAGGCAGCCATCCAGGCATTGTCCGTAGATGGCATTCTGACCGAGGTCGGCGGGTGCGATGCTAGGGGCGATTGCGGCCGAGATGGCTCACAGTTTAAAGGAATTTTTATTCGCAACTTGCGTTACCTAAACGATGTGGCTCCCCACCAGGAATTTAAGGACTTCATCATTCGGAATGCCGACTCAATCTGGGCCAAGGACAGATCCGGCGACAATCAGTTTGGGGTGGCCTGGGCCGGTCCATATGCCACAGCCTTTGGGGCGACGCAAAGCAGTGCCTTGGATGCCCTGGTTGCCGCTGTGGCCGTCTCATAAGTAATCCATATTTCATAATCACCAAATACACAAACACGAGGGTCTGGGTTTTGAGATGCTGGTTATTTTGGCTACAGTATTGCATAACAGACAGGATTGGAGTTTTGATGGAAGGCTTTTTTTTTGTCCTTTCACTTTACTCATTACACTGCGCCTTTTTTGTCTATATCAACTTAGTTGATGGAATATACATAGAATACATCATGTGTGGTCTTCTCCAAGACTGCACCAATCTAATTAATAGCTGGACACATTACACGGCATAGATGCCGCGTACAACAAATGGAATTTTTCTCGTAAATACATAAAAGACCACACAGTTACCAGTACAGACCCGGACATGTGCGCTGAGTAAGCCTGAACACCGTCAATTCCGGCAGCAAGTCTCGATACTGCCCGAACCACGAGACGATGCATTCACACTCACCCGCAAGGAAGTGTCCGCGTGACCCCCAGAAAAAGGATTGATTCAAGCTAGAGTAATTGAAACAGGTGAATTGTCTGTGTTTTGAAACCCACGCTTCCCCGGCTGGGAACCTTTTCACACGGGATATCGACGATAAGCGATACTTTGGAAAGACAGTCTGCCGGGGCGCAATGATTAGGGAACACATTCTTCGACGCCGTGAACTCTTTGCGTTGTTGGGGAGGGGGGCGCTTCTGCCACACAAAACGTGAATGGCCGCTTCGTCTAGTCTTTTATAAAACACAGTTGTTTGGGAAGAGGCGTTGGAAACAGTTCGTCACAGATTCCTGGGCCCACTCTTTCTGGGCTGAGACAGAACATGTTGCTCCAAGTTTGACGGCGGGGGAGCAGCGCCCCTCACGAGGGGAGAGGAGCGTGAATGTATCTTGAGTTCGAGGCTTTTCTGAGGAGTGTTTCCATGTCTTGCGAATATGCTTCGGGGACGTAAGATTGTCGGACGTTGGGCAGCCGATCTCATGGGGTGGCTGAGGGGTGCTTGGCGAGAGCCTTGGCTGTCTCGTAAAAGTTCAATTGGCGTAGTTGAATAGTATTTGCTCTCTGCTTTTTGGGACTGGGGATTTTCTTCTTCTTTTGTGGTTTTGTTAGTGAGATTGTTAGTATCACATGGACCGTGATATCAGTTACATTTTTAGGGTTAGGGTTAGACATGCCAGAGACAAGTGATCTGAGAGGTGGGGCCCAGAAACCACTTGCGCGCATTGCTTGGTAAAGATGCGAGAGAATATGGAGGCGGCAACGCACTCGGAGAGAGTGCCAGGCTACGTCGTCGGCCTTTGGTGCATGCAGCACCACTCACTGTGTCTTTCGAGTTGTTTACGTCTTTGGGTGCTGTGAAGGCGTGTTTTATTCGGCTGCCTGGACAAGTCCCATCCGCCCTTGCCAGAGGAGGGGATGCCGCCTTGATCATCAGCTCAACACCGCTCGACGCCTCGTCACTATTTTGAACCTCTGGCCGTTTTCTACACACGCAGCAATTTTTCCAGTCTTTTCACCATGGACGCGCCGGATTCGGATCTCGATGTAAAGCTGCACAAGATATCCGGTGACCTGATCGCCGACCTTGACCGGGCTCTAACCACGTCGCTCCGCAAACCTGACGGCCATGGCGGAACGCAGGTGCGGTCCTTTGTCAGGGCAAGGGAGATATTCAAGTCAACGACCACGGTAGTCTTTCCAGGTATCCATCTCGAACTTTGCTGGTGCAGTTGACGTTGCTAACTAGTTCAAGATTCTCGACATGTATCAAGAGCTGCCACAACTCCTGGATCCTCACTTGCCCAAATGGATCCCCCTTTTGGCAGAGTCCTATCTGGAATACTCCCAAAAGCGGCACAGACTCAAGAATGCTGCTGATCAGTCTGGTCTTCTTGTACCCGTAGACTACGCAATCTGCAGGATCCTTTACAGTTTCTGCAAAGTCCGCGGAGAAAAGGTCATAATTCGTTTCTTAAATGTGGAAACTAGGTATCTGGAGGTTCTTCTTTCGGCCATCGAAGAAGCAGAGGAGAATCCACCCGCCACTGGTGAATCGCAGACCCATGGATGGGAGTGGGAGCAAAGGTACGTTGTGCTTCTTTGGCTCTCGCACCTTCTGTTAGCCCCGTTTGACTTGTCCACCATTTCGACGCTGGATATGGAAGAGTCTGCCGTCGCCCCTATTCCGGGCTTTGAATGGCCCGAGAACTTGCCTGGCATTACAATAAGAGTGATTCCCCTAGCTATCAAGTACCTCTCTTCTCCCGGCAAGGAGAAGGACGCGGCAAAGGCACTGTTGGTAAGGGTAGCTATGCGGCGAGACATGCAGCAGCTTGGTGTATTGGATGCCCTGGTTCGCTGGGCACTGGCTTCGCTTCGACCACGAAAGGAAAACCCGGCCCAGTCAGCATATTTCTACCTGGGGGTATTGTCATTCTTGGCGGGAGTGTTGCGATCATCAGCAGAGACCTCGGACATGGACAAGTATTTGCCTTCCGTATTCCAGTGCGTTTATGACATCACACTCGGCAACAATGAGGTGTCGAAATCCATCATCAAATTAGCGTTGGTGAGGAAAATGATTCTAAAAGTCATCCGATCGGTCGTTGTATCTTTACTGCGACAGAATCGGCAGAGCATGGCCAATACTCAGATGACGGAAACAGCCATTGGCTATCTGCTGGATAGTGTTTCTGACAACGATACCCCGGTCCGGTTGTCAGCCAGCAAAGCATTGAGCATCATTACCCTCAAACTAGACCCCGGGATGGCTTCACAGGTAATTGAAGCCGTGCTAGACTCGCTCAATAGGAACATTCTCTGGAAAAAACCAGTTGGCGACCGAGCGGGAATACCCACCAGGAATTTGTCGGCTGTCAATCCACTGGAATGGCACGGCTTGATGCTCACGCTTTCTCACTTGCTTTATCGCCGATCTCCTCCGGCAAAGCAACTCTCGGACATTATTCATGCGCTACTTCTAGGCTTGTCGTTTGAACAGCGAAGCACGTCCGGCGGTAGTGTGGGCGCCAATGTTCGTGATGCCGCCTGCTTCGGCATATGGGCACTCGCTCGTCGGTACACCACGCAGGAGTTGTTGACTGTGCCCACCACGTCTGTCTTTGCAGCAAAGGCACATCCAAGTTCCAGCTCTTTATTGCAGGTTTTGGGTACGGAGCTGGTCGTGACTGCATCGCTGGACCCTGCAGGAAACATCAGACGTGGTGCTTCTGCGGCCTTGCAAGAGCTCATCGGACGCCATCCGGACACGGTTGAGAAGGGAATTGAAGTTGTGCAGACTGTTGATTATCATGCTGTTGCGAGAAGATCGAGGGCCGTTGAGGAGGTGGCTACAAAGGTGACAAAGCTATCAAGTCAGTATGGCGAAGCGCTCGTCGACGCCGTTCTAGGGTGGCGAGGCATCGGAGACATTGACGCTCAATCTCGACGAGTTGCTGGAGCTGCCTTTGGCATCTTAACCTCTATGCTTGCCCAACTGGATGCTACTCCATCATCGTCTCGGTTCCTCCTGGCGATAAAGGTCGTCGCTGCGCGTATACAAGCCCTTGTAAAGCGTCAGGTTGAAGAGCGCCACGCCTTGTTATTGTGCTATGCCTCTGTTCTGGACATGATTTCACAAACGCCCACAGCTGGGCAAGGAGATGCTCAGGTTGATCCAGCGCTGGTTCAACCTATTCTCAGCTCTGTACGTGACATTATTGAAGATACCCGAGTCACAGAGTACAGAAAGCCGGAGTTGATTGCTGAAGGAGCCAGCCGCCTAGTCGTGTCTGGTCTCCCCACAATCCAAGCTGCCGTTCTCAGGAACCGGCCAGATCCGGCATGGGCGTCAGGGCACACCCTTCTATCTTCGTCCCGTTCACCAGAATACATAGCTTCGACGTCGAAATTACTCAGAAATGCCCCATGCCACGAGCAAATTAAAAATTTACTCTCCACCCTGAGGTTAATCACCCCGACTTGGCTAGCTAGAAACGAACCCGAGGCCGTCGAACCAGCCTCTGAAGCGGCCTTGGTACTCCTGCTCTTCTCAACAGGCCAAGAGCAAGAGAGGATAATTCAGGAATGGGCTGCAATCGTCGCAACAAAACCTACTACAAGAACCGTGACCACCGGCCAAGGTTACTTCCATGCATTAGCCAAGGCCCAACCCCTCGCCAAGCAGCTCCGTCCTTCCGATCCGGACGTGGCCTGCCAAGCATTTCTAGACCGATGGGCAAAAGACGACGACGTCGACATGAGAGTGACTCTCTTGCAAAGTCTAGTCCGCAGTCGTCTTTTGCGAGCACAGGCAAACGTGTTTTTAAGTCTGCTCGTTGACGGACTAAACGACTACACAACAAATGCTCGCGGTGACGTGGGCTCACACACCAGAGTACAGGCTCTCAGAGCGGTCGGGAAGCTATGGGGCGACGAAGACAGCTCAGATGCCAAATTGGACGTCATGAACAAATCTGCCAGGCAGCTGTTCCCGTGTATCCTGCGCCTGGCAGCCGAGAAACTTGACCGTGTTCGCCCAGAAGCGCAAGCCGTAGTAGCCCTGATGATGAAGGAGAGGTACGCACATCCATCTTGGTACAGAAAATGCAATAAAAAGAAAGCTGACAACAAGAGCGCAAGCGACTCCGAGTCCTTTCGGTCTCTCACATTTTCCTCAAGGGCCTACTTTGAGACTCTACTCAAGCTGATCCTATCAGACTCCCTATCACCAGCCCTCGAACCCTCCGAAGCAGACAGGTCAGGATGGATGGCAGAACTCATGTCCGGGTTGGTCACGTCCGCCGACGCAGGAAATGACGACCTGGTCATTGCAAGCCGCGCAGCTCTGACGGATTTCTGCGAGACATCTCAACGGCACGTGGACATGGTCTGTAACGCTCTCGCACTAAATCTGCGTGCCCATTACGCAGATGATCGCATTGCTGTGCCTACGCTGGAAATTATCGCGTTTCTGTTTCGCGTCGGTATATTCCACTGCAGCAGGGGGGTCGATTTTCGCACTTTGTGCTTGTATACGCAGAAAGCGGGCTACAAGACGGGAAATGTCCGCAAACTCATGGCTTGTGTTAAAGTCTACGGCGGAGTGGCGAGCGTGCCTACGGGGAACGAGGGTGACGGACAAGAGGCGGCACAGGCCGGGGTGAATGAAGCCAGGAAGAGACTGGGGGCTTTGATGCATCATCCGTGGCCGCGGGTCAGGAGTGTCGTTGTAGATGAGATTTGGGTGTTGTCTGGCTTTGCTGAAGATGGTGGCGCCAGGTTGACAAGTGTCGATTGGGCTGCGGCTGGAAAGACGCAGATTGATGCTACAGTAAAGGCGTTGGGGATGGGGTGATTCTGTTCAAAAGAGCTTTATTGGGGTCATTTGCGACTGCTCCTCTTCAGCACTCGGGCCTCGACGGTCGAGCCGCCTGTCAGAATCATCGGCATTCTCAGTCGTTGAGAGAGATCAAATGCGCCGCCCAAGACTTTCGAAAGTGGCCTCTGCACCCAACTGTGGCTTTCGTTGATGGCGCTGCGTGCATCGGTAGCGTCGTGACTGCTTTTGCTACGTGAAGTCAATCAAATCACTTCCCTACCACACATCCGTCATGTGAGCTGCCTCTTGATGGATTACTCGAATTCGGTCGTGCCCTTGAGCACGGTGATAGCCAATGACTTGTGTGGGAACTTCTGGAGCACAGTCAGATTTGGAAAGGTAATTTCCAGATTTTCGGGACCTGACCTGAGTGTTTTCAAGGCCAAGGGGGCACGTAGTTATCTTTTCGAGTTATCTGGGTGATTGATGAAGGTGCGGCGGTGTGCAAGGTGGTGAAAGCCCTGTGGCTTGTGGGGGCGCGAGTCAAGAGATTTCAAGGGTGACGGGGCGTTATTCTGGAAGACAATGAAGATGGTATTATACGCCACTGCCAGAGAGTCCGGTATTGTACGGACTGGCCTTCTTGTCGCCCAAGCCTGTCGCGATTTCACCCGAGGGTGTTGCTGTAAAAGATGTTAGTTTGATGTAATGGCTATTGCGTGTCATTCCCCCCCGCATTTGATTGCAGAGGACAAGGGGGGCCGGTTCTCGAAATTGCTCATTGCCCAAGCTGTGTCCCCAAGAAGCTGCCGACGGAACAGCAAAAGTACTTGTTACGCGACACACGTAGCCTTTGTGTGGACTCAAAAGTTCCTTGAATCAATATAATTACTCGGCCAAAGCAATCGCCCTGCCAGCAATGCCTGCCAACTTGAACACGTGTGCCTCGACGTACCTCATGCGGACGTGAACAGAAATCAATCGCCAGCATCCACGACTATGTGGGCACTGCAGTTCACGGAGCAATCGGGTCGGGTTCCACAGGGGCAGTCGACAACAACTAGTAATATAATACGCATCTGGCAATGCGGCAAGTATTTATTGAGGCCGGAATGGAAGGCCTGGCCGCGTCGGATATTGAGGCAATAAAAGTTATTGCTAGTGTTGGCAGCAGGGGACACCAAGGGCGATACCAGCAGTGACCGTCGCAAAACTTGTTACCGCCTTGCCTACAGAAACCTGCACGGATTCGCTGGTCCCCTGTAACCCTGTAACCCCAGATTTCGTCCACGGAAACAACTCTTGATCCAAGGTCCGTTGTTCTAATGTCGGCCATTTGCTAATGGAGCAACGTTGGCAGAAGGACTTGTAAATCTTTGTCCGGCCGAAGCGCCGTCGAGGAAATGAGAGGAGAATGAACAACTGAAAATCGAGATGTGCCTCTTGACAGTGACCACAGTGATGGTGCTCCGTATGCACTATTGTAACTCGGAGGCTGGGAACGGGAAGGTGTGGAGGTCAGCAGATGAAGGCTTGAGGACATGATTGAAGTTGGAGTTGACGGCTTCAGCAGGGATGGCCGCCTTTTTCAGCAGTTGAGGAGGACATAGGTTCCCAGTACCTGGCACCCAGCAGACGGTACCGAGCAATGCGTCGTCCAGAGCGGTTCCTGCAAGGCGTTACATTGTATTGTCTATTACCTGTAAAGTTCAGAATACGGCGAACTAGGATACTTAATGAAACTCTGCCACCTGCCAATTCTAGAACCCCACTCACCCGTACCTGCCTTCTGGTTCGTAGTCGAGGGCTTCGCTAGCGCTTCAAGTTTAGCCATTCTTTCTGGACTTACTGGCCGTCGACCATCGCCACAGCTTCAACACTAAGTACTACTGTGGACATACCAGCCGACTCTTCGCGCTACACCAAGCCTTCATTCACCCTTTGTAATCCTCCAAGTTCCCAGTTGAGCAATATTCTGGCCTGACCCGCCTCATTTGTCACCTTGATGCAACCCCACGCCTCTCCCCCGTTGATCAATCGCGGCCTAGATAACATCCACCGCACTATTGTCTGCCGCGCCATCATTTACGGAGAACATATGGTACGGGGCATGGAGTAAGGAGAATCAGTACACACCCATCAAACACATATTGGCCCCAATTAACCAATTTACGCAGATAAGAAGCCAAAGGAACCTAAAATGCATTGTGAAAGGCGGGCACTGTGATACCGTGGGGTGTCGGATGCTGGATGCTGATGCTGCTTGACGCACCCTATCGCAATGATGCAGGCGATCAGCTAATTATTCCTACCACCAACAAGACAGTGCGATCACCTGGCCATGTTGTCTATCAACCGCCTGATCCAGCCAGAATAGCGAATTCGCGTTCAGCGATAAAGTCGACAAAGTCGGCCCTATTCCCAATCGGTGTGCCATGTTGGAGGTGCTTGGCGAGATTAGGATCCAAGACTACCCTGACCCGAGCCATGAACGATGTGATACCCTTATCTGCCTGGAGAAGCCAGCTAAGTCTGCCACTTGTCGCTCAGTCATTGTGAAAGAGCTGTTTAGCTTCGCTTCACTTGTCGTCTGAAACATGCGCAATTCGGGGTACTGCAGCACACCAAACCACTTGAGAGTCCAACAGGCTCCAAGACTACGTACGTACCTAGGCATTATAGGAGTTTAAACTTGGTGGCAGCTGACCTAATCGTTCCGCATGCCACCTTTGCTCAAAACCTTCCGACGCTCTGACAGCCGCAGTCGACCAGTTCTGTATGGATCGGAACACATCCGACCACTATGTGCGACAATGTATCAGATGCTCTGCCTAGGGGTGAGACCTCGCCGCGCGCCTCAAGGAGGAGGATAGTGACGCAGATGCTACGTACCACTAAACGCACCCTAATTAAGCATATTTAATTGTTTGAGCCTGGGCGAGGGGTCTCATAAATGTCGGTCATAGTACTTCTGTAACCGGCCCATTTAAAGCTCGACTGATAACGGATAAAGGTACTCCGTACAGAGAAGAGTGACGGTTATTAGCCGAAGGCCCATTTTCAAGGATTCGACGGTCAAGAACTGCCCCCTGCTTCTCCCCGCCTCCGGGCTGTAGAGCCGCCGCCACTCCCATGGCAAATGGCCATGGCGGAATATTGCCTGTGAGAGTGCTCACGCGATAGGAGGTGCCGCTGACACCCCAGCCAATCCTAGCTGTATGGCTATCTGGCTGACGCCAGCGCTCAATCAACGGATCCCATGTCTCGCACCCTAGGGGCCAAGTACTTGAGTGAATGGAAATTCCAGTTGGCGTAAGTTGGCGCCCCTGCAATTCGAGTACCACCTGGCTTGTTGAATGCCAAGTTGGGACAGGGCGCAGGCCTTGATTGATCTGGCAGAGCAACACCTAAAAGCACAGAACATTGAATTAAGGTGATTCGGTGGTTTACTTCCGCAGTACTCCGTACCGAGTATATTACATGCTGTTAACAGGCAAGTGAGGACGACGCCGTCTTGGACGCCTAGCCCAGAACAGTCAAATCACCTGAATCGCGGTTGTGTATAAATTAGGCGGTGGCTCACGTATACGGTGTTTACTTTGGGACACGGGGCGGGGGATTGTACCGGCTCTTTGACACGAAATAACAGGTCAGTGGTTTCAACGGCGAGCCATGTGGAATCAAACACTCTTTGTTCCTAACTTGATGCTAGGATAAACACGTATCGCTGACATCTGTGAGCAGCCTCCGGCAGAACACTATCGCAGATTACCCCGTACCCGACGTGTAGGCGATATACTAATTGTTGCGCCCTCTTTCTTCGCCTCCCCACTGGTTATTGATTGTCCCAGACTTCTTGATCTTGTCGACTGGTCCGTCGTAATTTTTTCCTCGCTACCCCGGTCAGCTGCGCGTGCGTCCCGCCAGATTACGCACCATCGCCAATCACGGCCAAATCGGAACCCCTGTCCGCATCCACAATAGTCCACCTCGCACCCACCAAGGCCATGCCAGAAAGCCATCCATGACTTATGCTGCACATCCCCAGCAGCGTGTCTGTACTACATCCTCCAGCAGATGTGGCGTTCTGTGTGCTTCATGCGTGGCCCCGCGGCTGCTAGGTGTTCCACCAGGCTTCAGAAGCACAAGAAAGAACTCGCCCCGTCTGACAATCATCGCGTGCCGACTCGGCCAGCGGCCAACTCAGCCGCATTCCGCCAGGGCTGTCTCCCAGTCTTCCGCAACAGACTTGCAGGCCCCGGCCAACTTGTGATTGTCTGGGCAGGGTCGGTTACGGAGTACGTTGTTAGCGTGTTACTTCACATCGTTGGGAGTCGGCCCAGCAAGACGCCTCCACATAACCAGTTTGGACTCCCACATCCACACTCCGACTCGAAGTCTGTTTCTCTATTCCTCCATATCCTGAATTGCCTCGACCTGCTGCCGGATTTTCCTGGGCCAAACCATCGTCGACAAACTCGCCGTGCGACCATCACCATCCGTGCTGTTGGTCAATGCAACATCGGATACTTCCAATAATAGCCATATGTGACGGCCCCTCCAGCACCGACATAATACCCTTTGGAGTCACTTTGACTGCCTGAACTACCGCCGCAACCCTCAGCTCCATGTCGTCTTAGCTTTCAGAACTCCCCGGTTTTCCGTACCGACCTTGCGGAGTTGATATTTCTATTTATCTTCAAGCCCATAAAGAGGAGGGAGGGTGTGAATCGGTTTTGAAGGAGAATCCCATCCTTTCCACCTCGATATATCCTCGCTCGTCGAGCCCAACCCGGTGCTCGACGGGCGCGGAGCGAACTAAACCGCCATGCCCGTCTATTCAAATCCCCCCGATCTGCGGGCTTTCCGCGACGATAAACCGACGCTTCTGGTCTGTTGGTGGGCAACATCCTTTTGCACACTAATGATACTGCTGCGCGTCCTCGGTCGGTTTATAAGAACGGAACGGCTATTTATTGAGGATAAGATTGCGGCACTGGCGGTGATCCCGCTCGTTTTGCGCATGGTTTGCGTAC